TGTGTGTGTGTGTGTGTGTGTGTGTGTGTGTGTGTGTGTGTGTGTGTGTGTGTGCGCGCTACGCATCTTCAGTGTTCAATGATTAAAAAATACAAGTTTGGAGTTCAAAGGTGAATTGCATATTAAGATTTCTTCTGAAGAGGAGAATGGAAGCAAAGAAACCGGAGAAGAGTGCACATACCATGCACCGATGATGTTCGCATGCCACCCTAAGTCTTGCACAAGCCCTAACACGAGCCAAACTGAGGGTACAAATATTTCGAGGCAAGCGCCACCGCTACCAAGAATCCGCCATCGCCGAGGAGCTCGGAGGTCCTCAGTACAGCAAATGACCACCCAGTTTGCCCTCCTTGACGATCGCTGTCGTGCTGCTCCCGGCGCAGCACGCAGGGTAATGGCGTCAGTGACGCAGAATGAGACGCAGGACGGAGAATAATGGCGCCAGCGACGAGGAATGAAACGAACCGACCTCTAACGACCACATCGTCTTTACCTGTGATGCCTGAGGCTACTACCACAGTACACCCCAAGTCAGCCTGTAAAGTGGAAGTATGCCCAAGTAATTCAGAGTCATTTGATACTGTTCAATTTGATTGCATACGGAATCGAACCCAGGTCCGTCCGCATTCCAAGAGTGCATGACCCGACCGACTGATCCAGGCCCGAGCAACAATTTCCTTCGAAATTTCTTCTGGTTTTCTACAAAACGTGTGAGGTTTGTGACATTTGGTCGCTTCCCATGCTACATCTGATTTTCGCGCCGTGCCCTTCTGCCGCCCTCGACCTGTGTGGTCAGCGCCTGTCAGACGGTGACGCAGTTTGTGTCATGCCCCTGTCGCGTTTGCACCCTGGTACGGAATCGTCAGAAGTAGGGGGGTATAAACAACGCTAAGCGGCCGAAGACAAGGACGCATGGAAAAGATTCAGCCCTCGTGATGGAGTTTTCGCAGACTACCCTCTTATCAATGCTCAGGCAGTAGCCCCTTGGTTGCAATTCTACTGCTCTTATTGTGATGTTCAAGGACGTCCTTCCACCACTATTGTCTACCGCGTGGGCGCGGGGAAAGCAGCCCTAAGGTAGCCAAATCAATGAGACTAAGAGCTAACACAAGAGAGAGAGAGAGAGAGAGAGAGAGAGAGAGAGAGAGAGAGAGTTTTGTTC